TGCCCCCTCCATGTCTCACAGTAGGTATGGTGCCCCCTCCATGTCTCACAGTAGGTATGGTGCCCCCTCCATGTCTCACAGTAGGTATGGTGGCCCCTCCATGTTTCACAGTAGGTTTGGTGTTCTTTTCTTTTAAAGCTTCATTATTCCTTCTGTAGACATAGAGCTGATGTGACTGGCCAAAAAGCTCCAGTTTTGTCTCATCAGTCCAAAGGACATTATCACAGAAACTGTGGGGCTTGTCAACATGCCTTTTGGCAAATTCCACTCTGGCTTTTTTATGTTTTTTCTGTCAATAGTTCAGTGTGGTGCAGACAATGATGGCGAACAACACAGTAGCATGTTCTTTCCCTTTTAATCAGGCTGAATGGCTGATGAAACGCTTGAAAGCTCCTGTGATAATAATTAAGGTTAAACACATAGTTTGAAACGGCTCTATATATATTTGCAACAAAATCCCGCCTAGTTATATTGGCGTTTATTTATGTCAGATGTTCTTCTTGATGCTTTATGCTTCGTCATTCTTATACTCTGTTCTACTTGGCTTCTAGTTGACAGGGAACAGTGAACTCTTATCAGCAATCTGTGGTATTTGTAACGCAAGGTATTTGCCAAGATAAGATAAGATAAGACACAAGTTTGAAACCAAACTATTATGCAAGCATAAATAGTCTTATTTAGGGGTACCAACAAATCTGTCCATACTATTTTAGCATATCTTTCTAAAATAAATATTGTTTCAATGAGCTTTAACGGTACCAACAAATTTGTCCACATCTGTGTATGTTAAGATTAAAGCATTATTTAAAGAAAACATTATTGTAATGTTGTGTATGTCATTTATAATGTTTCCTCTTGTAATTGTATCATGATCTGATTGTTGACTTTCCCCTGCGAAGACCATAGATTCCTCTGCGACTCATTTTATTTATATTTTTAAAAGTTAAGTTATTCACATGCACTTGGTGGTTGAGCACATGCAGTTCTCAAACCGTCTTTTTTTTTTTATTTAGGTCAGAAGCACGTTGTTCTTCATCAAGTCCTTCAGAAAGTGGAGCATCTTCATTTCCTCAAAGCGAAATGGGTCATGGTGAAGTCGGGTTTTTCCTCTGATTCTTTGGTTACCTCGCTGCAAAAACTTTCCCTTCAACCTGAGGTTTGATCTTTTGTAATATTATTTCAACTTAATATATTTTGTGGCTACAATCCTCCCCACTCATTTCAGTTCCGTATGATTTATGCAAAAATTTCCCTTCAAAAACCTCAACTTTTTGATAAGGATGCAATTTGACCTACTGAATGATGTTGTTCTCGGTGACCAGTACAATTTAAGCGGATTTAGTGTTTCGATTGTTTGGAGGGTGGGGTTAAAATTTGAATTCACGCTTTTTAGAAATATTTTTCCCCTACATTCCATTTCTTTGTCATATAAATTCGACTGGAAGACATAGCTTCATACAAACACTTCTTATCAATCTTTCTGATGTCCAAATTAATTTGTGATCAGAAAGAGAATAATTCCACACAGTTCTATGGACTGGAATACAAGTAAACATATTTATTTTTTATACAAAGTAAATGTAAAAAAAAACAGTTATTAATATATATATATGCCTAATACTGCCTAATACTTAGAGCTGGAAAGTAGTACTCAACTGGTTGGTTGAAAAAAATCTTGGTCTGGATTTTTACTGAACTATCCACCCCTGCAAATATGGTTTTCTGGGGTTACAGACAGAGGTGAGTAGTTCCGGTCCAGAGAGTGAAAGTCCAGACCAAGATTTAGTTTCAAACACCCAGAGTACTCTGTTTCTGTGACTCTTTATACTCAACTGGTTGGTTGAAACAAAATGTTGGTCTGGACTTTTACTCTCTGGACTTGAATTACCCACCTCTGGTTACACAATTATTGAATTAATTAACAACCTAAAATCAAGCAAAGAAGATTCCAGTATAAAAAAAATAGATTGACACATATCAGTGAAGGAGAATTGCGGTAATGCCCTGACAAAAAAGATGTAATATATTTTGTGTAATTGTGCACTCCATTTGTCTTATAGTTGGTAGAACATTCTTTTGCTTGGATTACTTACATAAATCTTTTTGTTAGGTGTCCAGAAGTATAGCACAACTGGATTTGGAAATATAGGTCCATTTGTCCTCACCAGACCATCAAGCGCCGACATAGTTATATTAGAGAGCTGGGGGGGTCTGCCCTCTTCAAAGCACATGCAGGCCTTTCAACAGGCCTGAAGTCAGCCTGCAGACTTGGTTACTGCAGGAGGTCTATGTTTGTGTTCTGCAGCCACTCCACTGCTGGCTCACTGTCATGTTGGAGAACTAACTTTTTTAAAAACGTCTCTCCCAGTTCCAGTTTTCTGACCGGGGGCAACAAGTTGTGTCCAAGAGCCGGTGTTTGACACAAATTTTTGACCCTCCCACAGACTCCAGGAGAGAAAGCAAAGAGATGAAGATAAAAAGAGCGATTCTGTGCTCTTGAGTGACTGATCTCTGAGGGATGAATCAGGTTCAGTTTTGAGACATTTTGCATTGAGGCCACAACATTCGTAGACCACAAACGCATTTTTCTACAAAGGACCCGAATCTCCGGTGTTCTTTTGCAGTCTTCAGTGTAGTACTTCTTCTTGGCATCCTCAGATAGAGCTGACATGTGCATAGAGCCTGTGATGTGTTTATACGACGATTATTGTTGACCATTCTTTGGTAAACGTTCCTTTAAAGTGGCCCTTATGGTCTCTATAATGGTTTGTGGCCCAGCAGGTTAGACTGCTGTGTTAGTGATCAGATGGTCACCAGTTTAGATACTGTGGCTGGCAGATTGGTTTTACCACTGAGCCTTGAACAAGATCCTTAACCCCAATTGCTCCAGGGCCATCTCTGCTTTTTCAACTGTATCTTGCTTTAGATAAAAGAGAAGAGTTAAAAGATAAAAGAGTTTCTGCCTGGGGTTGGTTTGACCTAATCTACTAAAGGTCTGGTTAGTGCCTTTGACTTTTCACGAACTTCATTCCCTCCCCCCCTCACATTTATAAAAATGAGAAATTATTTATCTAGTAAAGTATAAAATAATGAACGATATCACCAAATGCTGCTCGAATGTGGTGCCCACACGAGGCGGGGATTTCATGACAGAGCTGCGGCGTCAGCTTTCCCGCTGACCTACTTTTCCGGGAATCGGAACGTTTTGGGTTCGGGTCTCCAGAAAGTCTTGTAGAATTTCCAGCCACTGAACGTGTTTATAAGGGCTTGGAAGGGGCCGGGTAGCTCAGACAGAACAAAGCACTGATCGACGCAATCTAGGGGACGAACATCTGAAGCGATGGCAAAGTTCGCTGTGATCATTCCGACTCTGCTTGTCCTTCTGGTGGCACTGGTTTCTCTGGGGGAGATGAGTAAGTACATAAGACCTGTTCCAGATACATTACAGTGCCAGTGCAAAACATATTCATACAAATATGCTAATGTGAAACTAGGACATCATTAAGATGTCAGCGGCTGCCAGTTAGACCTCTGTGTTGTTTCTGTATTGCCCTTATGAAGACATCCGGCAGTGTTCTGTTTGTGTAGCCCAAGAACTTCAACCTATGTAAACTGGAACATTCATCACCCACTAGCTACCTGAATACTTTTCACCTAAAATCAGTTCCGCTCCTGTACGATTTGTGATGCTGCTCTAGATATTTTAAACGAATTTCTAAAATTGAAAAAAACATAAAAGCATTTGTTTACACAGGATCTGCGCAGTGCTGTACGAGTTACAATGAGAAGCCAGTTCCAGTGAGCATGCTAAGGGACTACATTCCCCAGAGAATTACAGGATACTGCAACATCAATGCAGTGATGTGAGTAAATGAGACTCCTACCGGCGACACCACACAGCTGTTACATGGAAAGCTGGTAAAGGGGCGAAAGCTTGCAGCCATTTTCACACACGTGCTAATGCTGTGTTCCATTCGAACTTGGAAGTCGGAATTTCCAAGTTCCTAGTTGGAAATTTCAACTGGAATGCCCCCTGAAGTCGGAATTCCGACTCAGAAAGTCAGAGCAACTTGTGCAATCCTGACCTCAGAAATCAAGGTGGCTGCTCCCTTTATCAACAGAAGTTAAAGCTGTAGTTATTTACTGTTTATTAGCACTTACGTCTTATTATTATTAAGTCGGTCACACATGTAGGACTGTCCAACTGCTATCTGTGGGCATATATGGTATTTTTTATGCACAAAATACACGTAATGTGTACAATGGCTAACAATAACCTGGCTGGAACTTGGGCCTGTTTCAGAAAGTAAGATTTCTTGCTTATCCGGATAACTTGTCAGATTTAAGGTAGCCTGGGTTAAATGTAAATGAACAAAGATAAAATTCATTTAAACTGGGGGACCTTAAGTTGTCTGGCTGAGCTAGAAATCCTGCTTTTTGAATCAGGTCCCTGGTATTGCTAAATGGCTTTCCACCTTGAGTTACCTGCTCCTTGGAATGACACATGTGCTTATATGAGTGCTGTTCTGTCCACAGCTTCTTCACAAATAATAAGAAAAGGGTCTGCGCCAACCCCAAAGACAAATGGGTACAGAAAGCCATGAGTATAATCGAGTAAGTCTGTCCTTAACTGATGCATGGTGAGCCCAGGCATGCTGTTCACTCAAAAACCATGTCAGGGAGCCGTTTATCTTTCAAACGTTACATTCAGGCTCGCACTTCCCTTAAACCACTATGGCACAATAATTCTGTATAAATAACTTTATTTGCAGCAGCAGAAAGGGCTGAACCCTGAGATGGCATCAGTCCCAAAGACGCCGGCCACACCTGAAGAGAATGTTCTCCTGGTTTCGATCCAGACTCAAGTTTTATAACTAGGACCAGTGCTATTGTTCTGCTTTTAGAACACTGTGGTCACTCACTTAATTTCATTTGAAATGTTTTGATCAGTATTATATCTAAAAGTGTGCACTTTTGTTCAAAATTTGATAACATTGATGATTTGAAACTGTCGAATGCTTAAGATATGAAAATAAATATTTTATACATGGATGAAGAACTGTGTGCCATTCACTGATTACACACTTCTGACAACGAAGTAATTTTAATTTATTAAATTTCTCTTGCAGGGCATTAAACGTAATTTAAAATTAGACTATTATCTAGTGATTTAACTGTCCTGATTTTAAAGCTTTTGGTGTAAAATGTTTATATCTGACACCCTCGGGTTTAAGGAACTTCACTTAGTTTGCGGGATCACGGTAGCAAAAGGTCCTACAAAATTCTGAGGGATTTACCATTGACAAAATCACTTCTCCCGAATATCTGCTGTAAAATAGATAGCCACAAACTTCTTTACTGCCGGGTAAATAAGTAATCTTAATTAGAAATTAGAATTCAGTTTCACATGCTGGCAGAAATAATTCAGTTTTGGCGGTTTCCCCGTGGAAAAACCCGAAATCGGGGCGGCTAAAAGATATCCAGATGCACAGATGGATAAATAAATGAATGTATAATTTTTCGCGTGTTTCTTTGCCCCGGCAGCAGCTGTAATTGCGATACATCAGCGACGCGCTTGTAGTTCCGCTGAGAGCCACCGGAGGCGGATAAGAGACAGAGGAGCGCATCGCGGCGGAAGGGCGGTGCAATCGCTCCTCTTCCCGGAGGGAAACCTCCCCCGTCGACGGAAGCACACGAGCTAGGTATTAATCCAGGTGCCTTTAGGTTTATCTCCGTTTATTAGCTGAATCACGGCCGTGCTGTAGCGTCGGGTTGGCTGGCTGCTCGCTCAGGAAGCGTCCCGCGGCACACGAGTATCTGTCCGCACATAAAGCCCCGGTAATGCAGCCGTTTGCATCGCGGTGGTTTGTTGTGCACGTCTGCAGTCTGACCCATCGCCTTTCAGTTCCTAAACGTACTGCTCGCAGTCCAACTTCTATATTCAATTCTATAGCAGTCGACACGTCCATTATCCTTTCAATCGCCTTAACTGTTATTATTTATCAGGGAGGACCGTAGTATGTCATATATTCACCTTCCAGGGCAATTCCGAAAATGGTATAACGATCCAATCCGTATTTTTCAAACGCTTTCTTGTCTTTCGCTTCCTGTGCGACGATTCATAGGTGCTATATTGCAAGTTCAGTCTTATGGCCCTTCGTAGCTCTTATCTTTTAGTGAGCTATTCATATGAACTATTATAATCTCACTAAATGCTCTTAACTAATGTTTATTTTACCTAAAATGGAAATTTGTGCCGATGAAAAAAGCAAAATTAATGAGAAACTTTTTGAAATTGTGAGCTAATTTATCTGAATTGGTAGGAATGCAGGTGACGGCGATAAGCTGAGCTGCATCGGGGGCTTCCTGCTGGTACCGATGGAGCCGAGCGGCAGCCTGTTCATCGACCCGGACTTCGCACCGGCCGACTGCTCCCTGTTCTCTGACTGCAGCACTCCCATCGCCAGACTACAGGGGGCGGTAGAATGGATGCGCCCGCAGGTGAGAACATCTTCTGCCGTATGCATCCTTGTGCAATATATTGAGCAGTCTGACACATTTATAAATGCTTTTGGCCTGTGGTCAGATCTGATGCTTGTCTTCCGCATTATGGTTTTGCACATGCTGTTCTTGCATCACCTAGTAAATCTAGAGAATGTCACAATTTATGAGCTGGACTAATATAAATAATAATATACCTGTCCAGGAAATCTGCTCGTCGCCCAAACTGTTCCCGGAGAATCCCAAGGAAGGTCACCCAAAGCAAGGCATTCTGGGAGACTGCTGGTTCTTGTGTGCCTGCACCGCGCTGCTGAAGAACAAGCACTTGATGGACAAGGTAGTGCTAACAGACCTGAACTCTCTGCTAAAATGGGTCTGTTTGTCTTTCTTTATGCTCTGCTTGTGAAATGGGGCTGGTTGGAGTTAACATTCACCAAGCATTTTTTACGCCTGATATCAGTGTTGTTGCCACAGGTGTTTCCTCCAGGACAGCCGCAGTGGGGTGACCGTAGCTATAAGGGCAAGTTCCGCTTCCGCTTCTGGAGGTTTGGCCGCTGGGTGGATGTCCGCGTGGACGACTGTCTGCCCTGCCTGAGCTCCCGGCTCTGCTTCTCTCACTGCCAGTCTCCCAGCGTGTTCTGGGTGCCATTACTGGAGAAAGCTTACGCTAAGTGAGTACTCCCGAAAAGCTAATGCTAACCACTGCTAGCGATGTAGCGTGTGGATGCTGATCTTTTGTCAAAGCCAGACTGGCTGGTTACTTGTGAAGATAGCCCAACTGCAGTGGTCTTCAGAATATTAATATGTACTTACTGCATGGTAATTATTAAATCAGTTTGTCTCAGAGTGGCTTGTATGTCCTTACTAGCCATCTACTAATTTGCTGCGTTTTCTTAACATCTATTTAATTAATACTGTATAATATTCTGTTTTTTTCAGGATTCTATTTGTGTACTTTTTAGTTTGCACCACGTTCAGTTGTTTGCACGGTGTTCTGTCTTTGCACCTTGCTTGTTTTGCACTGCATGTATGTTTGTCTGTGCCCTACGTACCTGCCGCTGTATGTGCAAGAAATTCCCTCTAGCATCAATTAAGTTGATGTACCGCAATATAAATCTTTCACAGGCTCCGTGGCTCTTATGAGCGGCTGTGGGCTGGACAGGTGGCTGAAGCCCTTGTAGACCTCACTGGGGGACTGGCTGAGCAGTGGAGCCTGAAGGACTCTGGGAATGAGGAAGACCCACTTGGACAGACGGACAAGGGAAGACGGAGGCTTGATCTTGACAGTCTTCAGGCTGTGAAAGGCTTATGTTCGATCAGTGGCTCTGTGCACAGTGCCCCTGGTGGTAAGAGCTGAAAGAGCAGTTATATTCTTGAATGGATTAAACCAGGGGCAGGCATATACCCAGCGGCCCTTTCAGGATAAAATTGCCCACCTCTGGATTAAGCTGGTCCTTTAACAAAACACTGTGAACTAAAATGTTTATTTTGTGTAAGGCTTGGGTCAGTCATTCACAGTATCTTTCAGAACATACAAAGCTAATGTGTGTATTTTATAGGGCTGGTCTGAAATCAACCATAAGGCCCTCTCTTTGCCTTCATAACGGTCTTGACTCTGTCCTTTGTACCTATTGGTACATGTAACATACCCTTAAATGGAATGGATGGTCACTTTATGCACGAAAGCCAAGCAGCACAGGTGGCTGGAAACGTCAAGCTTTTATTTTGCCGTGTCACTGCATGTTTGGTTCGGAGCGTCGCTGTAGCATGAGCGCAGAAGCGACTGGCGCCAGCTGTCGGCGTGTCCCCTCTGTGCCCCAGGTGCCAGCGAGCTCGGGCAGCACCACGCACTCAGCGTGATGGAATGGATCGACCTACCGGTGGCTTCCGGTGCAGCGGTGCGTCTGCTGAGGGTTCGAAACCCCTGGGGCCGGCCTACCTGGGGAGGTGCCTGGAGAGAAGGGTTTGTGTGTGTTTTTTTAAGGGATGGAGCATTTTGGATGGGGATTGGGGGGGGTGGGAGGGGGCTAAAGGCTTTGACCAATAGATGGTGGAGGATGTGCTTCCTGGTGTGAGGTGGACAGCAGCAGAAAAATTGCGTATGTTTAAATCATTTAGTGGGGAGCGTTGGGAACAAATGGACCAAACCTGCGCTCTGGACCTACTGAGCCGTACAGAGGAAGGAGAGTTCTGGATGGAGGAGGCGGAGTTCCTAGAAGAATTTGATGAGGTCACAGTGGGCTATCCAATCGGCAGCCAAGGATTTATTTTAAGTATTTATACAGGTACAGACAGGGTTCATTGTTACTGCACGTCATTTGGCTTTGATCCGGATGCCGGTGCGATCGATTGTGATCTTATGTCTGTCCAATAGGCTGCGAGTTGCCACACAGCTATCAAATAGGCAGCTGTTGGATCAAAGGTCACTCTTCAGGCGGTTGCCGTAACAACAGTAGCTTTGGCAGCAACCCAAAGTTCTGGCTGCAAATGAAGGATCCGGGGGAGGTGCTGGTGTCGCTGCTCCAGCACCGATTATGGAGGAACTCTGCAGACTCTAAGGGGTGCATCGACTCTGTAGGACCACAAGGGGGCAGCAGAGGGCCTGACTTCCAGCACCATGCCATTGGACTTCACATTTGGAAGGTTTTATTTACTTATCATAAGTATCGTAGAACTTACACATATTTGGGTACAAAGCAAGTAATTTCAGTGTTGACTTGGTTAATAAGGTCATTCTTATTGTATAATATTTTTCTCAAACCCCGTCCTGAGATGACCCTGCTTTTAATTCATGATTGTGGTAATGGAGTTTGTGTACGTGTTTCTTCTTTTCAGGTGGAGAAGAAGCATTTTAACCTGGTTCGAACCCTGAACAAGCCGGCCAGTGTGTCGACACACTGCCACGCCTACCAGCGTGAGGTCAGCGTGTACGCAGGTCTCAGCGCGGGCGCCTACCTCGTCGTCCCCAGCACCTTCCTCCCGGGGGCGGAAGCCAGCTTCCTGTTGCGGGTTTTTTCCTCCGCGGCCCTCGTTCTGAGGTGGGTGAGGATACGAGTCGAGCCGAACTTCGGTTTGGTGGGGGTGGGCAGGCGTCTGGTGACGCTTTGCCTCTCCCACCCCCCAGCCTAGTAGAAGCCCCTGGGGTCCCGCCGCTGGCGGTGCCGGATGGGGAGTGGGAGATCCACTCTTCCCAGGGGTCCTGGGTCCCGGGGCAGTCTGCAGGCGGCAGCCGTAACTTCCCCTCCCACTGGACGAACCCACATGTGCTGCTTCTGGTGAGCCTGCAGTGTGAGGAGCCCAATGTGAGGGTCAGCCTCCGGCAGCACGGCCCCCCCAGCGCCTTTCTGCCCATCGGCTTCCACATCTATCAGGTATGCAGGGCTGACTGTGGCGTTACTGCACTCTGACATAGTGATTCGGTTGTTTTTATTTACTCATTTTGTCAGAATTGTTATGATGAATTTCTGTTAATAAAGTTTTCTTGAATGTTGAGCCCATGCAAGTCACAGGGGGTGTTTCTCAATATACGTACTTGACTCTACTTGTGTTCTCGAACCTGTTTTACATCATCTTCCATTGCCGAAGACCAGTTCTCATACTCAAGAACAGAGGTTACAGCAGACGGTAAAAATCTACCGGATGTTGTTCTTGGCTCGCCCTAAATATGAAGGATATGTCAGTTGCATCTTCACCAAATAGGATCAATCCCATGATTCTTTGCACCCCAAGTTCATTCTTAGAAGGCAAGTTAGGGAGACCAGTCTTGTCAAGACCACAAGCACAGTCTTTGCGTCTTTAGTATTGAGAAACGCCAGGGTCTCGCTGTTGTCCCTTACAGTGACATTACATCCCTGATCTGCTCCAGTAAACATCCACCTGTATAAGTGGGTGAAATCTGTTTCTTTGGGGGAGGGGTCCCGCAGAAGCAGTCAGCCAGACATGACCTTTTTAAGGTGGTACCTGTAGATTGGCGGGCCTTGGAAGGGTATAGATATTTGGATCATGTGTCATGATTGTGCAGCTTCAGCATAGTCACTGGTGTGTGCGCGTTTGTGTCTTTTTTTTTTTTTTGCGGTGGGGGCTGGGGGTTCGCCAGGTTCCCGACGGGTTCGTAGAACCCCGCATCACCCAAGGCCAGGAGCCCCAGGCCAGCTGCGTTCCACACTGTTACACTCAGGAGGTCAGCCTCCAGTGCAGCCTGCCCCCGGGGGCCTACGCTGTCGTCCCGTCCACCTACCAGCCGGACAGTGAGGGGAACTTCACCCTCACCGTGTCCCGGAAGATTCTCAGGTACCAGCACTCCTCAGGGTGGAGGGAGGGTCAGTCAGTGAACAAGTACATACTTTTCTGTTCCATTTTTTCATAAACACACTTCAAATGGCTCCTTAGTTTAAAGGAGCCCAGAATAGATTAAACCGCTGCTGTGTAGGTGGAAATTCATCTACTCATCTTTAAAACTGTAAATATATATGTTTCTGTCCCTCACCGTAGAGTCGTGACTCTATTCAGTTGAACAGGCAGCTGCTTTGGTCAGAGGTGGGTAATTCAGGTCCAGATAGCAAAAGTCCAGACCAAGATTTTGTTACAACCAACCAGTTGAGAGTTCTGTGACTGATGCTATATAGCAGGGATGCCCAATCTCATCCGCAAAGGGCCGGTGTGTATACAGGGGATAACCTGTAGGTCAGCTGTTCAAACCCAGGTGTGAGGACTCTTCAGCCAATCAGTCCTCTAATTAGTAATCTAATTAGGGAGTTGCAGCGAAAACCCACACACACAGCGGCCCTTTGCGGATAAGATTGGACACCCCTGCTTTATACTGAACTGGGTGGTTGAAATAAAATCTTGATCTGGATTTTTACTCTCTGGACCGGAATTGCCCACCTCTGGTTTTGGCCACATTGGTGTGGATGTTGCATAGGCAGGTTTTGTGCTTGGCATGGAGGACTGTAGTAAAGAGTGTAATAATGTAGTAAAGTGGGCTGGGGTTTTATCGTTTATATGCAGGAAGGTGGTAATGAGCCAGGAATCTCTGGGGAATGTTGTGCGGGAGGTGAGTGTTGCCGGCCACTCAGGTTTGCAGCTGGTCTCAGATCCGATCACCTGTATGGACACGCACGTATCCGAATGCACCACACAGAATGTAGACACCTAAAGTGCTCAGTGTACGGAGCGTGAGCGCGGAGCGTGAGCGATGTGTATATGGTTGTAGCATATCAAGTCTATAAAGTAAATTAAAGTACAAACGCCTATAAAGTAAATATTGGTAATCAAATTCATTTTGTCACTCAAAGTAGGTCTAATAGGATTTTTTAAATTTCACGTAACGCGCCAACAGCCTCGTGAGCGAGGAGCGGAAATTCTCACCGCTCCACTCCGCTCACATGCTCGGGTACAGAGGTCTTTACTCTTTTGAAGCTTTATGTTTTTCTGTTTTTGTGTTTAATACTGGGAGGTTGTTTATTTCCCTTATTCAGAAAGATGTAACAAAGAATAACAATGGCACACCCCGCCCCCCCAAAGAAAAATAAAAAAAAATTGTTTGGTTTTCAGTGAATGACATCATGATTTATTATTAAGGGTGATGAGACATTTTGTGTCTTGCCCCCACCCCCACCCCCCTGCTGTCGGCAGACCTCTTACATCTCCGTGATGCGCAGCTAGGTCGCTGACATGAATCCGGCCCTTGGCCCGAGATGAAAGCTTGACCCCCCCCCCCCCCCCCCCACAATGTGCCGCACCGCGGGGGGGGGGGGGGGGGGGGGGGAGGGGGGTGTTGCCTTT